GCTCCAGGACGAGGCGGGGAGCTTCGTCGCCCCCGTCCGTACCCGGGCGCCTGGCTGAGGCGGGGGGAGCCCCCACCTCAGGTCACCCCTCAGTGTCCCCACGCTGAAATAAAAGGCGTCCCGGCTGCATCCAGCCTCCCCTCGCTGGCTTCAAAGACCGCTGGGCACAGAGCTGACCGGAGGAGGAAACAAGATGGAAGCAAACTCCCCCAGACAGATCTCCCTCCTCCGCTCCCACCGCCCCAGTCCAGGCTCCTGCTGGGACCAGGACTAATAATTAAGACTCCTTTTCCCATTTTTCAGTCCCAATTGGCTGCTGGGACAGGACTAACGACTGTAGCTGTGCTTTAAGGTACTAGGGGTGGTGTGAAGGGACTCAACTCCAGAAAGCCTGGAAAGAAGCTGCTTTCTGCAGGTGGGTGAATACCAGAAGGCCCCCACGTTTCACCCAAACACAACACTAATAACTAGAATCAGCTGACTCTCAGCAGGGAAGCCTGTGGTCCATGTGATGGAAGGACCCAGTAAAAGACTGGAAAACAGATCAAATCCTGCCGTGTGCTTGCAGAGGGAAGGCTTTCCTCTTAACCAACACCTTTCGGGGGCTCTGAACAGAAGGGGTTTTGCACAGTTGCTTCTACATCCCTCAAAAAAGCCACTCTTGGTCCCAGATCTGTTCCACACAGGAGTCTCCCACTCTGCACCCTGGCCTTGTGGTGCCTGTGCCTGCTCTACCCTGCACTCCATGGCTCCCAGGTAAGGCTTTGCCTCTGCTCCCTCCAAAGGGCTCTCCTTGGCCAGGGAAAGGAGGTAACCAGGCTCTTTTGGCTGTGTTTAAACAGGGGTGCATTTCTGGTAAGCCTGCCCCTGCAAGCTGTCGTGACTTGCCCTTGTCACGAGCAATGGTTGCACTCCAGAGTTGAAGCAAGATTAGATGTCACTCCTCTACAGGGGACAGAGGTTTTAACAGCCCACTCAGGGTCCAGTGCAACTGGGATAGTAGAGAAGAGCAATGGGAACATGGGTCTTCCCAACAGCTCACTAGATCAGGAATAGGCAGGGAAAGTCAGCCCCCAGCCCCCCCCCCCCATTCCTTTGCCTCTGAAGTGAAGGTGTTTCCTCACCACCCCTCATGGTCACAAGGTAGGAAAAGGGGAAGCCAGTTAAAAGAACCCATGTGGCACCACAGCAGATGGGCAAGAGACAGAACCTAGAACTTTGCTCTCCAGGTAGTGTGAAGTCTACCTCAGTGCCATACAGATACCTCCTCGCCATACTGCTGCACCCAGACTCTGAGAAGCATTTTGAGCTTGCACATTAATCAGAAGAGGCTGATCTCAGCTCATTTCTAGCTCTATCTAAACTACCTCACTCAGCAAATGTCCAAGAGCACCTCCTGCCCCCGGCCCCACACTGTGCCCATCTTGCCAGCGAGCGCAGCTGTGGCTTGGCTGCTGTTCTCTGCAGCCTGCGAGGGGCCCACCTGCCTGCTACAGATGTGCCTCCCAGCAGCACTAGTCATGAGTACATGCAGGGGAGGACCTGGGCAGGCAGGCTGCACCCCCTGCAATTGACTGAAGGAAGAGGAACACTTGAACTTGCTCCAAAAAGAAGCACAAGCTCCAGCTTCCCCACATTCATTTACTTGCAAAGCTTGCCTAAACCTGCAAGTAGGCGTCAGCTTGCAGACAGGCAGTTGAGAGGAAGCAGAGTTAGGCCAGTGCAAGTCAGCTGGAGGTATTGACCCTTCTGGCAGTTTGGATGCAGACCTCGGGCTCAGCTTAAACATGTTTTTCTTCCCTCCTTCTCTATCTAGAAGAACTGGCCCTTCCCAGCCATTATTTTCTTCAGCATGACTCATTCCAACTACAAGTCTACTGTATCCTTTCTATCCAGGCCCTGCAAAACACACCAGGGACAACTCCACCAGAGCACCTACACCTCTTCCATACAGGTTCCTGGGGAGAAACAGGCATATTATCAAATATCCCAGTTTTGGTTTTAACCACACAAAGAATTTACCAAAACAGTCTTTATTTTTCTAGAACCTTATACGTTGTAATAGTCCAGTTTAGCTTAGGGCAAAACTTAAGGCTAATGCAAAGAGCAAGAATCTCTGAAGAACTGTCTGCCGCTCAGGTGATGATGGCATTAAGATAACACTAGGTACTTCAGTGACACTACCAGAGTGCTGTGGTGGCAAAGCACGGAGAGCACACAGCCAAAAATCAAATCAAGACCTAGCTTCCTAAGCAAGCAGACCAAGCAGGAAGGCTAATGGCATCCTGGCTTGCATCAGCAATAGCGTGGCCAGCAGAGACAGGGAAGGGATCTGACCCCTGTGCTCGGCACTGGTGAGGCCACCTCTCAATGAGTGGGTTCAGTTTTGGGCCCCTCACCCCAGAAAGGCCATTGAATGACTCGAGCGTGTCCAGAGAAGGGCAACAGAGCTGGTGCAGGGTCTGGAGTACAGGTCTGATGGGGAACAGCTGAGGGAACTGGGGGGGTTTAGTCTAGATGAGGCTGAGGGGAGAGCTCCTGGCCCTCTACAACTCCCTGACAGGTCTTTTCCAACCAAGATGATTCTGTGAGCAGGCTGCCTGACAGCCATCACTCCAGCGTGACACACATGAGAGCGGTGAGTTTTAAGTGGTTTTAGTGAGCTATCAGGAAGGAGTAAGAATTTGCAAAAAATGCACAGTGATGTGATCACATGAGAGCTCTACTTTCCAAACCTCTCAGTAATAGAGGTTTTAGGTTAAAAGTTTCCTTGTACTCATTACATAGGGCAAAGTCTGCTCATCAAAGAACACTAACAGTCCCACAGAACAATGACAATGGCAGGTGCAAAGGAGGAAGTGCTAGAGGCATGATAGTGCTTCAACGTTTATTTTCCCGAGACACATAAAAAGAAACAAAACAGTTCTAAAAGCCACAGAGGTTTGTAATACTTCACAATACATAAGTACTAACTCTGCTTCCTCCTTAGACTAACCATCAAGGAGGTCTTTTATTGAAGCCATGCATAAAGCTGTTTCATTTACTTCAGGTACAGAACAAGTGAAGGAGAAATTTATGATAGAACCATTCTAGTTTAAGGCCAGGAATTTCTCCTGAGAGGGATGCTCTGCTGTTGAGTGGAAGCCATGTTCAACAGATCCTGCTCACATCGGGTACAGATGTCTGCAGTCAGCCAGTCTGCCACAGTCCCTGAGTAACAGCACAGAGGCTGGGCTAGGCAACAGGGTTCCAAAATAACAGGTACACTGTAGTGGGAGAGGGAAAAAGAAAAGCAGGAAAGCTGACCTATGTTTCTGTTAGAGGGCATGGTGTTCTTCCACCCTTCCCCTATGCATAATCCAACACTGCTAGGTGATTTAGCTCAATGCACAAGTTTCAACAGAGCAGTCAGCTCCACCTAGGAGGGCTACAAAGCACCAGAACAGCTTCATTTACTGACACCTTCCCTCCACCGACTGTGTCAACCAAAGGGCTAATGTATATCTGTGCCCAATCCAAGGTTATGGCCACATCCTTACGCTGTAGGATTTTTTTTTTTTTTCCATCCTGAAGTATGGCAGTAATGCAGTCACTCAGACCTATTCTGCAACACCTGTGTTATGAGACAGGCCAAACCACTGCCCCACACAGTTCACTTCAGCAGTGAGTACTGCCCCTGATTTTTGGCAACTGAAGTACAAGCCTTTGAACCAGAAACTGCTGTGACTATTTTGGTGACATTAAAGAATGGTTTGAGAGAGAAAAGCTACCCATTCCCCAGTAGAATATATAACTGACTGGGAAAGAAGAGAAATGTATGTTTCCAGTCCTAGATATTAAAGTTATACCCACAAGGTCTTTTTTCCACTCAGAACTGTCAAAAGCTCTTTCTGAAATAGTTCCTCTTCTAGGGACAAAGGGGAAAAGGTGTCTGCATGTGTGTGGAGGGACTGAGAAACCATTTGTGGCATCACTCTTCAGTCAGTTATACCTGGACCATTAGGATATTTTATTTCTCATTACAAAGGAGCTACTCCTGGGTTGTAGTGACAGACCCCCAGCTGTGGGGGACAGACTACAACAGCACCTGGAAATTCTCATAGAAATGTAGTTGTCACAAGGAACCTTCTATGTCTGGGCTAATATGGACACTTCTGAATCCATGTCAGGTACCCGGTAGCTAAAAAGCAAAATGGGTTTCAGAGTACCTACACATCCTCCCTTTGCTCATCTAAAATCCACAATAGTTCAGAGAACTGTAGTCTAGTTAGACCAGTGGCTAAACCAGTAATTCAGTGTAACACTACACACTGCTGTCTGCATGTTTGTAGGCTTGTAACATACAAGTAAGTGGTAACATCCTTCAAGGTAAAAACAGATCATCCCTGTCCCAGCTTACCCAAAACACTTCCGGTGCTCTATTTCATGCAGCAAATCTGAGGTCTTCTGCTCTTGAGTAGCTGGGTCCTCCCATCTGGAGAGTCTCAAAAGTTTTAGGAAGTGAAGTGGGAGATGTACACACATTCTAAAGGGCATGGACATCTAGAATCATAACACAAGTCACCTGAGTTCTCAGGGAAACACATCCTCCTCCTTAGCAGGAAAATTTGCATTGTATGCAATTGATTTATTGGTGCACTTAGAAGATAGACATTAATGCAGTGAACTTTCTGACCCTTGTATAAACAGAGCACAGAGTAATCCCAACTACTTTACACAGGATGAAAGAAAGAGAAACCAGAGTTGTTTGAGCTGAGTATGACAAGAGATGTCTGTGACACTCTGGCTGCTTTTGCACTTGGTAATATCCCCTCTGATTTTCTTAGAAACAAGCTAGCAGGTAGATTTGAGGTATCAGTGGGATGAAGGAAAGTATCCTATGACTAGGTGAGGTAGAGGGAAAATAGAAAATGTAAAACACCCATATGATGTTGTAAGGACTAGACTTGCCTTGATGCAGCAGTCACAGCAGACAACACTAAGAGAGAAAAGTTCCCATCATTATCATTTGAGTAAAGCTCATCAGATACCAATACTGCAGCTAAGGATGACTTTCCCACAGAAGTCTTAACTTGTGATTGTGGCACAGTCACTTGATGGGAAAGTGAGCAAGCTTAGAACTCCCCTCTTCAGTTTGTCAGCCCTCCTATTTATCCGACTTTAAATCATCTGAAATGTGTCAGCTTCCATAGCTTGAAGGCTGCAAATGCCCATTGCTTTTCACCCAGCACTACCACCAGACAGTTACTCAATTCCCAGTGGTTGTTTACTTGTTGCTTGTAATCAACTCAGTACTTCACCACTGCTTCAAATAGATTTAAGTGAGCCTTAATGAGCCTGAAGTTCATCTTTTCCTCTGCCATGAAGAGAAAACCTCTGACAAATAAGTGGATACAAGTAGGCCCAACTCCATTCCCTGTCACAGGGTCTGGAGTTCACTTTTTCAGTCCTCAGCAGGAGATTCTGGTGAAGAGCCTCTCCCAGAACCTGCTCAAGCCCTTGACTGAAGTTAAATCCAACCTTTAGAGCAAAATGCAGAGTGATCTCCAAGAAGCCGAATCTAACACTTGAACGGTAAATTTGGTTATTGCCAGCTTAACACTAAGAGTTAAAATTGAGATACCAGTTCAGAGGCAAGTTTTTCCACATCCTCTGCAGCTGTAGACACTTCAGCCTGGCTTATGCAGCAGGGCAAAACTGAAGGGCTCAGCAACCTGTTACTATCCAGTAGTACAACTATTTGAATACTGAGTATTTTCATCACTGTTCTTTCATTCTTTTCTCCCTCCCCATTCAGCCGTTTTGTACTAGCTCACCTGCTGCAGAGGTAACAGCTGTAAGGCCACTTAAGAAACATCTGCTTATGGCAGCTGAAACAGATCTGTGGAAAGAAAAGTTATTTGTGAGTGCAAATGGGAAATATCTTTGTACCAACAGTATCCACTGCCTGCCAAAGAGCAAGCACATAAACCAACCTTCTACAGGCTTTAGATTCACATACAATAACAGAGGTCCAATAAAGGATAGCAAAGACACAGGAATTAAAAGCTAAAAAGGCAAAAAAAAAAAAAAAATCTTACTTGTAGGCCAGTGTTTTTATGATGCAGAGGTTTGGGGCAGCTGCCAGACAACAGGAGTTTAAAAAAAGGCTCTTGAGCAAACAATAGCTGTATTGTGCAACAGTGTAACAGTAGCTAGTTAAGAGAGAGGGAAGAAGAGAGACATTCTTTGAGGCAGACTGCAGCAATCCCAAAGAGATTAAGTCAAGGCAAATTTGAATCCAATCCTGAAGCAAAAAAAATGAGTCATAAGGAAGTTGATGAGTCGCTTGAACTTATAAAAAAGAACACATTCATAAACAGCTGGCAGTCAGAAGTGATATTATCTTGAGAAGTAGAGCTTGAGAAAGCTAAAAAAACTCCAGCAACAAGAACACAAAGGGGGTAAGAGCCATTTTAGAATAGGCAGAGAGCAGGCAAGTTAAAGCAGGGTTGGTAAGTGAGGTGAGAAGAAAATAAGGATTCGGTCTCAGGAGCATCAGATTGTGGAAGTAGCATAGCTCTGCTAGGAGAACCCTTTGGCTCTGTCTATACTGCTCAACAAGTGAGGGCAAGAAACTGACCCCTAAGCCAAGTAGCACAGACTCCCTCACATCTGTGTTGCAGAGGGCTTGTACTCACAACATCTGCTTTAGAGGGGCTAGTTACAACACCCCTCTGGAGGGGACTCAGTGAATAAGCCAGCAGTGAAGCAGAGGGGACAGCCAACAGCCCTGGGCTGCGGGTTGGTCCTTGTACCATTCATCTCCCCAGCCTTTATGTCCACTCAGAAAGGTGGTTTGAGAGCCTGAGTTAAGAGCCTTTGTATCACTGTTTAGCAGTACCAAACTCCAAGTAACTACTTTGTGATTTCAGAGCTGCCCAACAGTCATAGCAGTTAACTCTCCTAGTGTGGAAATAACAGGAAGTATCAAGCAGAGGCTGGTTTACTTTGTAGGCAATTTACACAGCTACAACTTGATTAGAAGCCATCAGGGCACAAGTATTATTTTTACACCCTAGGGCCAAACTCGGATCAGCTGGATGAATAGGGTAGGTTTAGGCAGAGAGCACCTCAGCAGTTGAGCACTGAGGGCCAGGAAGCCAGCCAGCTTCTTAGAAGGCAAGGACAGCACAAAGAGGAGAGGAAACATACCTTTGCTCTTGGAAAGGCACCATCACTACCTCCTTGGGAGAAGCCTTGCCCTTCCAGCACCACCATTGCATATCTGGTTCCAATCAGCTCAGCAATGGTTGGGGAAGGGCACTTGGTAGGAAAGGGACAGTCCTATCAAAAGACAGGAGTTAAACATCAGAGAAAGCAGAAACAAGCTGATATTTGGGGAGGTCATTCTCAAAACTGAGTCCCAAAAGGCTCAGGAGTATTTGTCTCCAAAACTCAGTTTTGCCAGTGATGGGAGTATCAGTTGACTCTGGTGATACTAGTAGAGAAACTACTACAGAGGTTTTAGTGGTTGTTATAGTTTTGGAGCAGCTTCCTGACACCTCACTAGGGAAGCAGGTTGCTTGGTCACCACAGAAGTTAATACCATTTCCAGAGCCAGTCTGAGGAATTCTACCCTTTGATACAGAGTACAGCACAGATAGCACCCTGGCCCGTTCTAGGTACAGGATCCCTTTCCACAGTACAACACACTCCTGCCTTCTCTTTCCCAAGACCCACTGGCCCCACACAAATGGCAGCTTTGGTCTGGTGGTCAACCAGGAGAGACAACAGTGCTTTTATCCCCAGGGGGTGAGCCCAACCCACCTGCAGCCCCTACCACACTGTTGAACACAGAGTTATGGTCAGTTGAGAGACTTGCCGGGAATGGGGCAGGGAAGGATGCAGAAGGAAAGGAGACCAGTGCACAGCACACCTTGTCAGGGTAGAACAGGGCAAGGCCATGATTCAGAGGTTGCACAGAAGCACACAAAACCCAGCACTGCTCCCCCAACAGTCATTGAGCCTGACTTTGAGCATACATTTAAAAGTCACTGATACTGTGCTATCTACATTTTTGTCAACCACCTGTTCCCTTTACTGAAGCTTAAAGGATGTTTGTGAACATATCAGAATCTAGAAAGAATGAGGGAAGAGGGAGAAAGCAGGACAGTCCCACTGCCAACTACAGTCTGCTCGAGGAAGCCTTCATGGACACTTTCAGGTGGTGCAGCAGTATTTTTCTCTTCCTGTATGAGGAACAACTTTATTTCATCACATTCAAAGTGGGAAGCCTCCACAAGGACAGTACAGCATTCAGTCTTCTCTTAAGCTCTCCAAGCTTACATACATGAGCCTAGTATGGCCTAAGATAAAAACCACAAACCATGCTTACTGCTTGTATGAGGATCAAGGTGCAAGCTCTGGTCATTATCAGATGTATCAGACCAGGCTTGCTAGCTGATGTGCTGGACTTACAAATTCCTTGCTTTGAAGACCTCTCTCCAAAGATTTGGACCTTCCTCTGTAAGGAGGCTGCTGCTGTTGGCCAGCATTCAGGACACCATTAGGTTTAATGTCTCCTAGTGTGGGTGCACTCGTAGGAGGATATGTGCTATTTGCAGCGAGACCTGGATAGGAAGAGAGAGTTTTAGGGTCCAGAAACACAACAGGCAGCTTCTAAGTATTCACCCCAAAAGCTGAATGCTCAAGAGCACTGCAGTGCCTTCTGAAGGTAACAAGGCTTACATCCCTCCCCCTCAACGCCCATCAGCTCAGATTACTGTAACCCCTGGTTTTTGTGATTATGCTTGTCAGTAGGTAGTGATGAGGCTTCATTAGCACCATTTAGTTTAATAAAATCAAGTGGTGTGCTTTGTATTTGAACATTCAAAACACTCATTTAGCTTTTACTGTGAATTCCAGCTAGGCCTTTGGGGACGCGCTATCATTGTTTTGAAGCTGCAGCAGCTAGACAAACTTCAGTCAGCTGCAGAGGAATGGTTTTCTAAGGGCACCTCCCCAGACTCATTAAGTGTTGAAACTCCAGTAAAGTGTCTTCAGCTGATCAGAGAGTGAGCCCAACCTAAGGCTTTGGGAACCTGCCAAGCCACTGACTGCACTTTTTCACCTGGTTTAGATGTGCAGCTAGAAGTACACTGACCTGTGCTGCTGCAGGATACTGCTGATGACCTGGTTGAGGCAAGACAGGTGCTGGAAGGCAGCTTGGGAGTGGTTTTCTGTAGACCAGAGGACAGGAAGTTCTTAAGCTGCATACAAGAGACACTAAGCCCACTTCCTCAGAAGTGCTGCAGCTAAACCAAACCCAGAATAGCCAAGGCAGACCAGAAACGTTCAAAGCTCAGCCAGAAGTGAAGCAGAGAGAGAAATCACTGTGGTACATTCAGCAACTTTATATTTCAAGAGGTAACAGCAAGTTAATTCTCCCTGCAACCAGGAAGCTCCAGGCAAGCTAGTGAAATTTCAAATTCATCTGTTCTCTCTCTCACCCTGGTTCACTTGCAGATACTTTGCAGTCAAAAAGTTCACTTGCAGTTCACTTTGCAGTCAAAAAAGTTTCACCTGTTCAGGAACCAATTTCACAAAATACTCCCTATACAACTCTTGAGTACATTTGAACCATTTTCTTGGCTCCAGCTCACATACAGCAACACTGGAGAACAGTTCAAGAGACCATGCCCCACCAACCAACCCAATGCTGAATCTCAACAGCTTCTCTAGAAAAACAGAAAACTAATTTGGTTATATTAGTCTTCATATGAAAGTCCTTCTAGTTTTGCAGTAACACATCAACCACAGGGTTCTCAAGTGATGAACATTCCTACAAGTAGCATGGATTTGTGCAAATACAGCTAAGGTTTTCTGCTTTTATTAATTCATATCAGTTTTCCTCAGTTAAGTAACAGCATTTCAGACAGAAATGTTTACTGAAAACAGATTCCTGTTTGTATGCCAGCGCATCTGTGCTAGACATGATGTGTTAGGGCTCAAGTTCAGTTCCACAGAATTTCTGAATATGCTCAGACTGAATCCCAGAACCAAGCAGTCAAGCTTTTCATGATCAAGCCAGGATTTACAGAACCTGAAGACCGTATCATGGTTTATTGAAGAATGGTGCTCCCAAAATTGCTCCACAAGCAGAAGAGTGGGAATTCACCAGTGAAGTTAATTATTTATTTTCAGGAAGCAAGTTTTCCTTCCACAACCTCACATACCACATGAAATGCAAATACAGCAGTACATCTAGCATCAAATGCCTCACTCTGAAGTAAGCGTGGGAATAGTTCTGGCCCATATTGGCCAAACTCCTATTCATATTAATATTTCTGTAGGATCTAGTTTTAAGAGACCAGAGCAGACCTTGGTTCTATAGGTTGTAGTTATGCCACAAAAAATAAAAAGTGTTTAAATATGGTATGAGCTTCTGTAAAGGAAAGGACTTCAGTGAACCTAACAGTACCACATTCGTTCACTTTTGAGAGACAAGATTGGCAACACTAGGATTTGAACCTGATGTTCCAGGCTCTGCGTGTATGCAGATCTAATGCCTGAAGTATTTCTGCCCCTCCAGAGCCCTTTCATTTAAAGCCTTACCTGAACTCCTGGTCCCAGCTGCTGTGTTGTAGTGTTCACAGTTCTAAACTCTGTATTGGCATCTTGGAGGGTTAAGAAACTGTTGCTTGGAGATTTCAAGGCAATATTTGGTGCCACAAGCATGTCTGCAGGGGAGAGGGGGAACAGACAAGATAAGATACTGTGCTGTGACAAGAAAATGACAAATGTGATACCCACACAGAAAAATTTGAGATTTGGCTAGACTTTGTCCTGGTAGTTATATAATCTTTTAGTTTTAGGTGATGGTCAAAATCCTGTTCTCTTACTTTGTGGACAAATTTGGACATCCATAAAAAAAGGTGAAACATCTTTTGAGTCTTAATAAGCCACAAACAGGTTTTCTAGGAAGATCTGTTCTTATGCCATACCACCTCTATCACACAGAATTTGCATTCACACCTCCCTTGCATTATACATGCTATGGAAAAGAGAAGTTGGCTTTCATTTCAAAGGTCATCCATTATTTTTAGCCAACACTACCTTCACTTGCATGCTTGATAGGTCACTTTGCAGCAGGTACCTTTGGGCCTGCTCCCATTGTCCCTTGCTGCTGCTGACCGAAGCTTCTGTGGTCGTTTTATTTCTGCCATGAGTTGTTCATGCCAGCTGGACTCCCTTGGCACATACTCTTCCAGCTTCCTCTCCAGCACCTGCAGGCAAAACACAGCACCAGAAAGAGCCAGTGGATAGAGGAAGGAGACCAGCGGTCACAAAACCACTCCTTCAGTAATGGCACTGGTTTACAAGTGCCTCTCACTTGAGAAGGCACTGGGCTCGGCACACGAGAGAACCTTTAGATTATGCATAGTAGAATACTTTAGCAACTCTCAAATTTAAAACAGACAACTCCAGGAGTACTTTCAGGACCACAAAATGTTCCAAATTGAAGAAGCAATGAAGGAAGTAGGGACATCAATCACCTTCCTCCTACAAAGATGTTATCTCCAATTTTCCCAACCCTGTGTTTTGGCAGGAGTGTCTGCCCAAGAGTTAAGTATGGTTAGTATAACCCCATCCCAAATCCAAACTAGTAGCTGAGACATAAGCTCTATGTTCCTAGAACCTGTCCTGTAAGCTTCAGAATCATCTTGGTTTGCTATCATTAGATGCAGCACCAGGTCACCTACAGACTTTAGGCTTGGGAGCAGCTACATCAGCTCTGGGGGTCCTGGGGCTTTGATCACCTGAAAGATTAGAAATGATGCTTAAGCACTAATTCTTTCCCTGCTCCTGGTACACCCTCCTATTCAATGGCACTGTGAATTATGCAAGTCACAATTTGGGGATGGCATAAAAAAACCTGAGTTGGAAAGCACAGGATGATGAGGTTTACACACATGGTTTTTGATAGAGACAGATTTGCTTGTGGCATACTAGAAGCAATCAGAAATGTTGCACAGCCCTTTGAGGCTTGCACAAGAAGCATACAGCCTTCTAGCCCCAGCAGCTTCTGGACTGCTCTGAGAAGCCACTGGAGAATACTGTACTCATATTTTAATGTCAAGAGTGATCCCAACAAGCACCATGGTCACATCACATCCATGGGTTGGGTTAATGGGTTAACAATGGGTTAACAAGAACTGTAGCAGCAGGCAGCTGTATGCCTAAGCTAGAGTCCCAGAGACTGGTTTACAGCCTTACATAAAATATGAACAATAGCAAGATAGAATGGCAGGGCAAGTATTCATGTGAGGCAGACTGTCTCCCTCATTGAGCCCTGTGCTTGCCTCGTAGGGGAGAACTGACAAAAAAAGTCAAGTTGCACATGCATGTCTTTAGCCGCCTTGTTCGCTTATTCTTACTTTGAGGCTGTGCCATTTACTTTCCACAACACATCGGAGTGCAGGTAGAACAACACTACATCTTCCCACACTAGCTGTGCTTTCATTCATTTGCAAATTAAACTACTGTTTGCTAGAGAAGCTTTAAAATAGCTTTGCAGATGGATAAGTCCTCATTTAAGAGCCTTCATAAAGACCTGAGCAGTAGCACCCTACGCTTTCTTCTAGCATTCACGGCTACTACACTTCAAACATGTTTGTGCTTCTCGTCAACCACAGAAAAAAAACTTAAAAAAAGAAAAAAGAAAATCAAGACCCAGATCATCCTGCCACCTTGAGTTACAATTCTGTACTGCACAATCTGTTGATACACAGTACATTGCAAGGAACACAAGTAGTTATGATGTATTGTCTCCTTTCCACTATTATTCACTTATATATCAATCAAGAGCTCTCCAGAGAAAAGTCAAAACCTTATCTGAAGGCTGGAGCCACAGTCAAGACAAGCAGGAGCTGGGGTTTTATAGAGGTGCATGGTTTAGCTGAGGCTTTTAACATACACACACACACACACACTTTAGCAGCACAAATAATGAGGAAAAAAGCATATGTCTACTGTGGTATGCAAAGTTTTCACTTTTCAAAATAGCGCTCTTTATTACAAGCAGAGTTGTGTCTCATCTTCTGCCAAGACGTCTGTTTGCAAAGCACACCAATGCCACAAAGACTTATGCCAAGGTTTTAGATCTGCTCATCATTCCCAGCTCAAGCTGCAGCAAGTGAACAGCATCACAAGCCTTGAGAGACACCCAAGACATTTTTGTATCTGGTCATCTTCACCAACCATTGACATTGCTGGCAGCCCCTACCACCTGAGTCAGCAGGGCAGCTGCTCTGGGCAGGAGTTCAGCTTCTTTTACCCTGACTAAACTCTTACAGTAGCTCACCTACACTTCCTAGAGGCCTCTGCCTGCAGCTGAGCAAAGGACTTGCTCAAAAGTGCATCCCACAGCATTGGGGAAGGGAAGGCAACTAGTAAGAGATGCCAGGCACAGCTCAGCTCAGGGACCCCAGGAGGACACCAATGTCCACAGTCAAGCAGGCAAGGGTCTGTTTCATGAGACTGGTGTGTGCAAGGCAGCATAATCGCTCCAGAGAAGGGAGTGGCTGGCCCCTGGAGGGACAAAAAGTTTACCACCCAGCTTCATGAAAGCATGGCTACCCCTGACTTAAAAAGACATCTACAGCCTCACTGGAACAGGTTGCCTGGAGAAGTTGTGGATGCCCCAGCCTCATCAAAGCCAGGTTGGATGGGGCTTTGGGCAACCTGGGCTAGTGGAAGGTGTCCCTGTACATGGCAGGGGGTTGGAACTAGATGGTTGTTAAGGTACCTTCCAGCCCAAACCATTCTATGATTCTGTGATACTGAAAGTGAAGCACTTGGGTGGACAAAGAGGGTGATCTAATATTGAGCTGGACTGAGAGGGAGACCAGACACTTCTGGACTTGAAAGCACCTTTGAGAAAGACAGGTTTTGGATCTCAACAAATACTGCTTCAAAATGCGGTAGAGCAGGTAGTTTCAGAGTTGTCCATTGACTCCAAGTCACTGACCTTCCGAAAGGTGTACCTCTTGTGCCGAATATCATCCAGAAGTAATTCGTAGGGAGAGCGGATACATTCTTCTGGAGGTGCAGGATGCTGCGGTCGCTCAGCAGACTTGCGCAGCCTCACACCGTGCTGCAGCTCACAGATGATGCTGGGCCACGGGGATGCCTTGGAGAAACCAGTGAGGGCCAAGTCAACAGCTGGCTAGAAGGCACAGAGTAGCATCCCCTCCTTCCATGTAATAGGGCACATTTAGCCACCAAAGTCATTCAGAAACACAAAAGCGTGTCCTTAATGCCCCCTTCAACTCACTTCCAGATCAGGGCACAGTACCAGAGCAGAGAATTGCTTCTCTTTGCAGAAGTTAATTTACCAGGAGGAATCTGGGAGCTGGCTCACCAGGCTCATTCCCAAATTTTATCATTAACTTTATGAACGTACTTCAGCAAAACACAGCTTCTGCTGCCAGGTAGCTAGACCCATTTTCTTGAATACCTACTTCCTGCAAGTGCTCCAGGTGCCAGACTTTTTTCATATTCTTTAATCCTAGAAAACACTGAGAATGAAACCCTAAATCTTACCATTAAAATACTCTGAACTTTCAGAAACCAAGGGTTGAAGAGCCCACAGACAAGAGACAACAACAAGGGGAAAGATCTCCTGCTTTAACCTCCACAGCAGTATACCGTTGCAGCTTCAGCCTAGAGACACAAGCTGAGAACTCTGACATCTGCTCATCCTGTTCCTGTGTTAATATCTAAGGATACTCAGGCATGCAGTATAACCCAACAAAAGTTAAAGACAGGAAAAGAAATAATCAACTCAATGGCATGTTTAGACAACATTGTAATGGAAGCTCTAAGGTGACAGCTTATCTGGATCCCAATAGCAAATTGAGTAAGAACAAGTTATTGTATTATAAACAGTGAAAGGGCAGCAAAACACTTTAGAAAAAATGCCTCAGAACAAAGTTTGACAGACTCCTCTCACTTTCCCACTTACAGTATGGCCTTCTCTCAACTCACCCCTTCAGATATCTTGGTATAATATCAGAAGAATCTTATGCAAGCTGAGTGATAGCTGCCTTCAAGAAGATGGATTTTTTTGTTGGATTGTTTTAGCCTGTCTTTGGTACAGTCATACCTCAGCTCCAGAGAACTAGAACTGTCAGTGGTGATATACTAGCCATATCTCCTAGGCTGTATTTATTATTGTGTAGAACTCTGGGCAAACTGATCAGTATTAGAGACCTTTGAGATAGCTTATCCTGAGCCATTTGCCCTTCCTAGAGTTGTATTTCACATGGGGACAGAACTTGACTGAAAGATACGACCTGAAGAGAGACTTCTGTACTGTAATATTGCCACATTAGTTTTGGGACAAGAATTGCCTTCAGCTGGCCATTTCAGAGCATTTTATACACCCAAAACAATTTTCAGGTATAGGTGACATTATCACTCAAACTTTTCTCTCCCTACTGATTGGATCACTGCAATTATTCTATTTGGGACATCCCATGTGTTATAAAACTCCACATAAACTTCCCACACCTGTGCAATAGGACAAAAAATTCTACAGCACTCCCAACCCATAGCATTCAGTCCAACAGAGGAGTGCCAAGACAGCTGTGTTCCTAATGGGTCTCACTGCTTAGATTTCAAGGTGAAGAATGTCTTGTGACACATGCAGATACGCTCTGCTGAAATTATACAACCCTGCATCCTATCAGGCCATGGCCTATGTTTCAGAAGGCCAGTTTTGTAGCAGTCACCATGAAAAAGTCTGGTCCATAGAGAGCATTAGCTACTTGGCACCACTCAAGGCACCAGCTCTAATCTATAGGATCCTGATGAAGTTGGCATCCTGGTTATTTTAAACTCAAGAGTTTGTCAGAGCAATGCAATCAACTGGTGGATAGGGACTTGGAAACGAGAGGCAGAGTATTTGCAACAGACATCCTGCTTTTGGAATTCATGTCTCCTGAAGGAGCAGAGGCCAAACACACTGGCCTTCAGGCCACACAGCAAAGCCCATGTATTTATTCATGTGTTCCCTGCAGGAAAGAGCTATAGCAGTTGATGAGTTTGTGGTTTGAGATAGCTTGCCAGTTTATTTTAATAGATCACAAAATTGAGAATATGCCCAAACACACATTTCACAAACATTTTCATACGAATAGTTTGAGCACGCTTCAAAGCAAGTGCTATTTAGACAAAGGGAGCAAGTCCACAAGTCTCTCGGGGCTTGCTGTTTGTCTCCACAGACTCCAGACTGCAGTGCATTTGTTTATGCTGGGCAGGGCTCCAGCCAGAAGAGCTATTTGTTTCTGATTGAGCCCTGACTCTGTAGGGCCTTGAAAAGAAGAGAATAATTTGCTTTCTCTGCCCCAAACACACAGTATAAGATCTATAGAAGGACAGAACAGAAAGACAAGAAAGGCAGTGGGCAGAAGGTAGGCACTACAACTCCAATGTTGCTCACCCTCATTCACCCCTTTGTTTGAGATGCTGGAGCTGCACAACCACAAATATGGACAGAGCTACTGGCCTTCAGTCCCCTCCAGCCCTGAACCAGCACAGACCTACATAATAAGAGTGAACCAGTCCACCTCAGTACTACCACCAACAGAACAGTTTTCTGGGAGTTTTCAGTCCAGCTACAAAAAAAAGAACAGATTGCTTTTGGCAGGTGTCAGTTCCTGCCAAGAGCTGGAGTTAGGGGCTCATTTGCAGGAAGAAACAGCCTGAGTAATTTCTTGTGGACACTTACTCCAAAGACTGCCTCCAACTTCATTTTTAGAACTGGTTTAAGTTGAACCACAAAGACAACCTTTGTTTAGAATAAATGCCCACATGAGGTTAACACACAAAACAGTTCAAGTTCACTCCCCAGCTTGTTTTGCAGACAACTCTTTAACTGCTTAAGCTCTTGAACAACTTAAATAGTTTTGTTTGTGTTCAAGCTGTACCTTTCATAGAAGAATCAGTGGAAAGCCTCAGAGAGCCAAGGTAGGCAAAAAACCTCAACTCCCCATAATGAAGCAATTAAATCCCTTACCCCATGTTTTTCCTTCTTCTGAAGGGGATTTTCCAGCAAATCTTCCACATTCATTTTTCTCAGACTCTGAGAAACAAGCACACCTTGCACTGGTCAATGATTTCCTATCCATTCAGTATAAATTACTAGATTATCTAGTATCAATTAATAATCTGAAAAGCCTAGAGGCCCCAAAACCCCAAACTTTCCAAAGCTACAATAAATTACTAATATGGTGCAGAGACAGTAGCCTTTTGCATTGTGAAAATAGACCTTCTGCTAGGTACTCCACTTCTGGTGCAATGGGAAGGTTACTCTAGAACTAGGTGAGTGTGTGAAGGCAGAGGGAAGAGCAGCTAAGGGGTGAACCCAGATGTACCTCTTTGGAGATCTGGATGGTGGTCACAAGCTTCTGAAGTTCCACATATTCAGTAAAGAGAGTCCTACATATCATTTCATAATGGCTGGTAGCCTCAGAGGGCCTGGACAAGTGCTCCTCACAGGCCTGAAAGAAGTGCAGCTATTTAAAAGAGATCTTAAAATGAAAAAGACACCATAGGATGGAATAAAGCAAGATTTAGTTTTCTCAATCCATGGCTAAAACACATCTTCCTCACAGCCCCTTTGGCAGACAAAAAAAATTATTTTGTTTTGCTTTCTATTGCACATGCAGAGTAACAAAGAAGCAAGATGCCCAATGTTATACATACAGTAATGTAAATAGCTGTGTAATTTATATATCTTATTCTCTATAGGGTGTGCTTTAAAATAAGTACCTGGAAGGGGAAGCCTCCAGTGCAGACAAAGCACAAAAACCCCACAGCAGTTGGAGTCACTTGCCCTGATCAGACTGAGGGATGGGAAGTTTCTCATACCTTTAAATTCTGGTTGAGAGAAAGATATTTATTTGGAGTTGAGACATTCAAATCCCAGCCCTTGCACAAGCTGCATACTACAGCCAAGTGACTTTTCAATATCCATAGCCTTCTTAGGCATCAAATTTGGAGACTATGTAGAGAACAGACTTCTCAGACACAGCTGTGTGAGAACCATACTCAGTCTTCCTTCTTAATTCTTTTTCACAGGCATTTGCACACACCTAAGATGGGTTTGCCATTTTCCTCTGATGGAAAAGCCATGAGCTCCCTCTATGTCCTCCCAAAAAGCTACCCAGATTTTTCCAGAAATGCCCCCTGGTTAACAGTATCATTCCACGAACTCATCTAAAGCTGTTCTATTTACTAAGTGGGAAGAAGGAAACCTTGATAATATCCTGCAGGGTGACTGCTGGTTTCATTGCCTTCTCATCCAGTTTCAACATGAGGCACAGAAGTTTCTCCAAAGGATCACTCAGTTCTCGCTCCACTTGGCTGTCGATTCCCCAGTCTAAGGCTTCATAGATCACCACTCCCAAGTACTCCAACAGCTGCAGGCAGAGACCAAGGAAGCAGTGCAGCACAAAGCATTCTGGAGAACTTTGCAGATCTCACTTCCCAGCCATACATGTACCCTCCACTGCCCCTCAGGGCTGAGCACATCTCAGGATAAGGGCCCAAATGACAGCTCGTCAGGGAGCCTGAGATACTCCCTACATCAGCTGGTTTAAGATTTTTAAATGGCCTTATCTAGCCCCTCTAAGTTATCTGTTATTAAGACCAAAAAGACTGTGGGCTATTCCACAGTAGGCAGCATCTGTGCACATTGTTTCCCAGTCCCATTGTCTTACATGAGTTCAGTCCTAGCATTTTGTTTCATTTTCCAGATTGCAGGGGACAGAGTCACTCTCTCAGGCCACACCAAATTTAAGCACCTCGACAGTTTCCAAAGACACCTGCAGCTCCTGAGCTGGCCTTCTACCACAGCAACATTATATCTGCACACACAACAAAGGTGAAGACACAGGCTTACCTTGTCCTCTGACTGCTGAACGCTGCCAACATCTGAAAGGGAAAAAAAGAAGCAAGTGGAAGAAAGATAGCGATTCTAAAAGCTGTTTATCAATACCTGTCAAGAGACAGAAACAGGAAACCTTTTTGATAAAAAGGAAGAAAACCCCTCTAAGGTCTGTCCCACCTGGGGAAAGTAGATACATATTTGGGGACTCCCAGAAAGCAACACAGGATACTCTTCTTACTGTGAGTATTAGCCCCAAAGTAACTGCTGCTGGGTACTGGTTTTTATTTTCTAATAGGTATCTAACCACAAGGAAGGCACTGGATCTTTGTCTTCATCATTTATTACCTGCTCTTGTCCCTGAAGACTAAGCCTAGTACTGACCTCTGCAGCAGTACAGCCAAGCAGTGCCTTAGACAAGCTCATTGCCACTTGCTGCCTACACATAGTAACAAAAAAGATAAACTATGAATCATTGAATCAGAGAGTTACTGTAACAAAGGAAGATTAGAATACAGAGCGGGACACATAATAAAGTCTCAGACTATTTATTTCAAGTAACAGAACTGATAATAAACTTCCATCCCAGCTATTCCCTAGAACCAAGTGATTCACTAGAGCACTATTAGAAAAATCAGGAGGCCATACATCTGTATTAACACTCATCTACAGTCCTCTGAAACAAAGCACAGGCAGTAGAATAGCTTCACAACATACAGAGAAAAGAAAGGGAGGGTGGGAGGAAAAATCCCCACTTTGTCCCCACATTTCAGCCTGTTACAGGAACAGCCCTTGGCATCCACAGCTACCTGTGCTCTTACCAGACTTGTGGTACACCTTGAAGGAAGCAGTACCATCAGCGTGGATAAAGATGCTTCCAGGATCTTTTATGAATACAGAATGGAGCAGTGGGCACAGCCCCTGAGCCAGCTGCTCCATTTTACAGCAACACTGAAAGCAGACAGCCCAGGCTTGCTCCTCACTTAGAGGATGTTCAAAACACCTCAGAATCTCAACTAGAGAGGCCTTTGTGATCATCTGCTCACACCATGGAGACTCCATTTTCACCTTCACCCCTCCACTCTTAGCCTAGGAAGCTTAACACCTCCCTTTCCAAGACAGGCAAGTGCAAATAGTAGCCTTTTATCAGTCCTGCCTCCTGGTTTTCTCTCACTTCTCTTCCCTACAGGTGTGGTCATTAATGCCAATTTTGCTCTGCCTTCTTAAAGGGACACCACTTTACTCTCTATTTGTGTCAGGCTCCTTGAAAGAAAATGGAAGGTATACAACAATAAAGGAATCTAAAGAGAAGACAGCTCCAACATCATGCTTAATTTCTCCATTGTTTCTAAAGAATATATTAATTGGAATACCAGTGTTGGCAGGTAAGAGTACATTCAACTTCAGGCAGAGAAGGAAGGAGGCAGGAAATAATGTTTTATACTCAGGAGAGAAGAACTCACAGAAGACCACAAAAATTCAGTCCATTTGATGGGAAACTGTTCTGGGAGCACTAATACATTACAGCAACCAACTCCACGGGGCACCTGCATCCACCACAGGCCCCACTCCTGCCTGGCCTGGACCCTTTGGCCCTGTCACAGCAAATCCCAACAGCTGGAGCTGGGAGCAATGGAGGGAGGGACCAGACAGGCCAGGCAGGCACCCAGGGTAAGGGCAGCAAGGCCCTTCCTTGTTCAACACACTGATACAAATTGCTAATTTCGAAAAGCATTTGACACAGTTCCCCGTAGAATTCTCATAGAAAAACTGGCTGCCCATGGCCTGGATGAGTGAACAGTCTGCTGCATCAAGCACTGGCTGGATGGACGGTCCGAGGGAGTGGTGGTCAGTGGAGATAAATCCAGCTGGCAGCCGGTCACAAGTGGTGACCTCAGGGCTCGGTGTTGGGACCATTTCTGTTCAACATCTTTACTGATGATCTTGATAAGGACATGGAGTGTGTCATCAGTGAGTTCGCAGATGACACCAAGGGAAGTTAGAGTGTTGATCTGCATGAGGACAGGGAGGGTCTATAGAGAGACCTGGATAGATTGGATCAGTGGCCAACGTCAACGGGATGAGCTTCAACAAGGCCAAGTGCCAGGTCCTGCCTTTGGGCCACAACAACCCCCTGCATGGCTACAGGCTTGGGGAGGAGTGGCTGGAGCTGTCTGGGAGAGAAGGATCTGGGGGGTTCTCATTGACAAGCAGCTGAACATGAGCCAGCAGTGTGCCTGGGTGGCCAAGAAAGCCAACGGCATCCTGGCTTGTATCAGCAATAGTGTGACCAGCAGAAGCAGGGAGGTGACAGTCCCCCTGTGCTCTGCAATGGGGAGGCCACACCTGGAGTGTTGTGTCCAGTTTTGGGCACCTCAATACGAGAGAGATCTCAAGGGGCTGGAGCGAGGGCAGAGGAGGGCAACGAGGCTGGGGAAGGGCCTGGGGAATAAATCCTGTGAGGAGCCATTGAAGGAGCTGGGGCTGTTTGGTGTGAGGAGGAGAAGGCTGAGGGGAGACCTCATCACTCTCTTCTCACAGGTGATTAGTGACAGAACAAGAGGGAACAGCTTTAGACTGCAACAGGGGAGGGTCAGACTGGACATGAGGAGAAAATATTTCCCAGAAAGAGTGGTCAGAGAGTGGAATAGGCTGCCCAGGGAGGGGTGGAGTCACCATCCCTGGGTGTGTTTAAGGGTCGTTTGGATGAGCTGTTGGGGGATGGGTGTAGGGGAGAACTTTGTAGAGTCAGGCTGAGGGTTGGACTTGATGATCCCAAGGGGCTTTTCCAACCTGAATGACTCTGGGATTCTGATTCTGTGAAGTAAGGTCCTCAGCTTTTTTTTTTTTTCACTCTGGGCTCTGTGTGTGTGTGTGTGTGTGATGGGAGGGGACAGTCACACGGACAGTGGCGGAGCTCATCCCCTGAAGAACTCCTGCTGCCACAGCACATCACAGGGAACCTCAGCTGCTGCACTGGCTCGGAACAGCCCAAACTCCCAAAGCACACCCTAAAGCACTGCAAGGTTTAGAAAGTGTGAAACACTCATAATTTATGTTTTTTTCCCTTCTTACTTATAACATCTGGGGAATGCAGTGTGTCAAGAGCCAGGCCCTGGGCTTTGTAGAGGTGTCCAGGCCAGCGTGCCTTGGGGTCCCAGCAACGCATCCCACCATGGCTGAGGGGTCACAGCTGGGTGGAGTCTTCTGGGATGTTACTGTTACTGATTTGTTATTAATTTGAGATGATGATTCTTGGTGATTTTGATAATGAATGATTAGAACTAAAATCTCACAGAAATACTGTTTTTTATAAAAGATAGTGGTGTAATGTAGTCATAGAGATGTTGTTTAAAGTAGCCATACAACCAGTTCCACTGCTAGACGAGGTACTTGGTGAGGATTATTTATTGCCCTGTAGACCAGGTGTTTTAAAAGCTGCATTGTGAAAAGGCCTCGAAGCATGTTAAAATTGTAATGTGAGCCAAAGTCCTTGAGTCAAGGGCACTGGAGGGTCTTTCTTTTAGGTCTGTGGTTGTCACAAAAGCAGCCCCCAACTCATGACCAGGAAGAGGTGGGAATATGAAAATGAGTTACAGGAATAAGCATGTTTATGTATGAGAACTTGATTAACATATATGACTGTATCCAATATAATCCGCATGTTACAAGAGTTAGGGGTGCGTTGTTGGTGAGACTGAAACAAAGAGCTTCACTACACAGTCAGAACAGGGTGTGACTGTTCAGCAGGGATTCTTTATTCACAGTGCTGGGTAGCACTGGGGATCACTCCACTCTAAGTGCCACGCTTCCTAACTCTATAATATACACAAAAAGCATACATATGCATCAAGATTTCTTAGAAGAAGCAGTCGTGTGCTAATGAGTTCTTAGAAGTCATTTACATAGTCTGAGCCTGCATAGTAAAAATAGTGAGGGTCTTCTCCCCTCCTTAGGGGTCCCCACAGCCTTTCTCACAATGTCCATTAGTGAGCTTAAGGTTTCTTGTGTCCATCTCTGGTCAGAGTTACTTCATCCATCCTTCAGCTCCTGTTTGTTCCAAGGAGGTTAGTTTAGATCAGCTTTCAGTCACTTCTCTTGACACCGGCGTCTTCTTAGCCCCTTGTTTTCTTTAGGTTCCTGCCATGAGGGATGTACTCAGGGAGTTTTTCAGACTGTCTGGGGTCTGTCTTACCTTTACTAGGCAAGGAGTTAAAGGTTTCAAAACATCTTATAAGTGTGTAACAGGGTAACGACTAGAGAGGGTAGTTAGGAAAATGTATAAATTAAATTATATACATTATAGTGAAATACAGGAAAAATACAGGAAAAAAAAAAAAAAGCTAGTAAAACACAAGTGATGTCTAACGTTAGAACTAAATGCTTATTTTACAGGTCCCTGTCCATTAGCAATTTCAAGTATACTGGTAGCAGCTTCCCTTCAGGACGACTCCCATGCGCACGCGGCCGTTCATAAAGGAGCGTCCGCTTATCCGCACCAAATCGGTGCCGGTAAGTTCTTTCACCCCGTTTTGGGGACACCGAGGCCTTTACCCTGCCCCCGGCATCAGCCCGTCCGCGGTGCCCGGCCGGGCCCCCGAGGGGCTCTTTCCCGGTCTCGCCAGCAGTGCCGCGGGCCTGCGGGGCTCGGCCCTCCCCGGTACCCGAGGGAGCCCCGG